AATTAAGCTATCTTACACTCACTCGAGTATTCTGGGAAGTGTGGCAGTGATGCCTATTCGCGTTGGGGAACAAATGAGGTTTTGAACGCAGAGACTCTTGCATCAATCAATAATCAGCAGCCATTGCAGAGTTAGAGTAGCCAAAACAATATTTAATGCCTAAGCTCTGTACCAATCTCTCATGAAGGGCAGATACACCTCAGAATACGCAACACAAATGTACGTATTCAGCGTCATAGGTGCGCTTCCTACAAGTCATGAGGCGAATTTGCCAATTTCAGGCTCAATTCCATACTGGGGTGGGTGGGAGGATGGCATATTGTCATAGAGATTATTCGTGTAGCGATTTACTACAGTGACTTTGACGTATCACTTCCGCACCATCTCCATGGTAGGTCATGGCCCTCTCAATCTATCCCAATCAACTAGACCGAAATTCAATAGTGTGAATGTAAAGCCATAACCAGAAGTATCAATACCATGAGTTTGTTATTAGTCTTTCCCCCAAACGAGGCTACTTTCTCGATAGCATCAAAATCATTAATTGGAAGAATGCACTTGCGTTAAAAGATTTTTTGGTGGGAATTGAATATAGAGCATTTTACATCCAATGTAGCATCAGGTTCAAAAGAGCTTCAAAACCAGTCCCAAAGTTGACTGCAATGTGCACTCATCTTTCATCGATTGATAGGCATTGATGTGGCCACGACAGCTTGCAATTTATAGATTCTCTAAATTCTCTCTAGGTTGATTGAGTGCAAAAAATGGTCTGATAGCCGAAAGGCAAAGCTTAAGAAACCTATATCATAGTAGCGCAACTAATTACTTTCCACTTATTTGAAATTATTCCTTCCACAATTTCGGGCAAATTCACTAATGTCTAGTGTAGTGAGACATAGGGAATATGAAATGATAATCGTTCGGAAATTAACACTAGTTTATTAGCTTATATTATTATCGATTTGGGTAGCATTTCATGGGCGCCACTAGTTACGTGGTGGGATTTATCGACTATATTGAACTAAGTATAAATTTCCAGGGTTTTAATTTTTCCAACTTTTCAAATTTCTTATCGGCGAGTTCTAATCAACAAAAATTTCTTTCAGAATTTCGCTTAACACAGTGAGCGAAACATTAATCGATTTGAAATAATTGGCCAATTATATTGCCAAAGTAGCACCATATGACTAGATGTTGTTCAATTTTCATATCAAAGTGAACACATCACAATGTGGGGTATATAAACCCACATGGAAATCTGTGGAGTTGCTTCACACCAGGGAGTGGGTCAGTTGCGTAGAGTGAGATAGGCTTAGTTCTCTTCCTCCTTTTTCCTACCTTTTCCTTCCTAACTCCTTTCCTGTCTAGGCTGGGCCGCAGTTCCCGGACTCGGCAGGGCGCGTCTAGGTGGACCTACCGAGGTAGCGTGGGTTTGGAATGTAGGCAGCGTAGGCGCCGACGCGGAGAGGACGACCAGCACAAGGATCTCCGGTAACAGGAATCCCAACACAAGGATCTCCGGTAACAGGAACCCCAACACAAGGATCTCCGGCACCAGGAACCCCAACACAAGGTTATCCGGCACCAGGAACCCCAATACAAGGATCTCCGGCACCAGGAACACTAACACAAGGATCTCCGGCACCAGGAACCCCAACACAAGGATCTCCGGCACCAGGAACCCCAGCACAAGGATCTCCGACACCAGGAACCCCAGCACAAGGATCTCCGGCACCAGGAACCCCAACACAAGGATCTCCGGCACCAGGAACCCCAACACAAGGATCTCCGGCACCAGGAACCCCAGCACAAGGTTATCCGGCACCAGGAACCCCAGCACAAGGATCTCCGGCACCAGGAACCCCAGCACAAGGATCTCCGGCACCAGGTACCCCAGCACAAGGATCTCCGACACCAGGAACCCCAGCACAAGGATCTCCGACACCAGGAACCCCAGCACAAGGATCTCCGGCACCAGGAACCCCAGCACAAGGTTATCCGGCACCAGGAACCCCAACACAAGGATCTCCGGCACCAGGAACACCAACACAAGGATCTCCGGCACCAGGAACCCCAACACAAGGATCTCCGACACCAGGAACACTAACACAAGGATCTTCGGCACCAAAACCGACGACAACGACGATGGAGAAGACGGTGCTGGGAGAGGTGAGTTGATAGCTTTCACACGATAGATGGTGGGTGGGCAGAAGATAGTTAGGCCGGCAGGCAAGTAAGTGGGCAAATGTATAAGTGGGTGTGAAGCCCCCACTCTAAGTGGGGCCCAGGTAAAATCCATCCCTCACCTCCGCGTGGTCCTGGGTGGTAACGTCAGCTTCTAAACTAGCGGCTAACGAGGGCTCTGGTACTTCTACTCCCCATAAATCTCTGGTAAGTGTTTTTGAAAATCCTTTTTTCTCCTTACATTTTGTTTAGCAATGTAAATGTGGTTCAATTCCGTTTGATTTTTGTGTATAAATATTTTTTTCTTTAGATGATGTGCGAGGAAATTGTTAATTGTATTGCAAGGTGGTCAAATCTCTCAAAAGGAAGATTTGGTACATTCCTCGATTTACCCTGGTAGCCCCCAAGTACTATTGTGTAAATTCTGAATTCGGTAAACTTAGATTGGTACAAAGTTTGTTATTTACAGATTTAAAGCTAGTTATCAAGGATCATTGATCCCATGGGACTTTGCAGATTAGAAACTCCAATAATTAATTTACCTTTTAGAGTATGCACTTTTATTGATTTTTTTCGTTTGCATTGAAGCCTAATCACGTATTCCATCCGATCAATATAAAGTGGAAGTTGAACTCATTTTTCACAAATTTATTTTTCAATTGAAAAGAAGTCACCTGTTCTTTCAGTTTATCTCACGTAATCCTCTGTTTTTTTCGTTCTGTAGGTTGTCCCAATACTCCTCGAACATCTACTCATGTTGAAATTTTCATAACTTTCCGATTGGAAGCAAGTTATCGTTATCGATCACCCACTCAACCAATATCTCGTGCTTGTCAATGCATTGTTAGTTTTTTGGGCATTCGTTGTTGAAATGAGAGAATTGAAGCCGACTACCCTACTCTTCTTGTTCTACTCGAAACAAAATGCCACAATTTTGTTGCAATGATTTATTATTTGTGTTGGCATTGTAGAGATAATCAACATTTCCATTAAGTGAACCATTGAAGCGACCTTACTAAGTTGTGACTTTTTCTAATTAAATTTCTAACAATGAAAGGGTCAAAAGGTGGCATATGAATACGGGCCAAAATATAGGTGAAGTTAGGGTCTCCTCCATTAGATCAAAATTTGAAACACAATGCCTTAAACGGTGGCTTGATGTGGAGTCGAGCCATCTATGTGCATTTTGCGTGGAGTTTGTCTCCAGTCTCTTTGAACTCAAACTGGTAGATTAATATTTCCTTTTTTGCTTTGGTACTTTTATCTAATCCTTACCTTATTTGGCGTGTTTAGTTGCAACTTCATATCACCATTTCACATGGTGAACTTAATTTTGACTATGAAACTAGGCTCTTCATTTGTTCTCTTATAATTATTTGAGTTTGATGAAGTAATGAATAGAAGTTATGATCCAACCTTTCATTTCGATTTTGTTTGTCTACATTTTGGACATGTGTCATTAGAGATTTAATTTGCGCATTAATAGTTGGTTTCGATATTATTTTTTATTATCAAAGTTCAAGAACTGTTTGATAGACACTTTGTCTATTATGTGTATGTCTATTATGCATAATCTTCGTATATTTTCGTTTATTACTAATAGGTTATTCAAGCTGACGAATTGTAATTTTATTGACTACTACCGGTTTTTGTCTCAAACTACTTGATCTTCCTGTAAATTAATCCTTAAATTATTCATGATTTATGGTTATACAAATTTCAACTGGTGTGATATTATTGACTCAGATTTTCTTTGGTAATGAATTTATCCAAAGATTTATTTCACACTTGGTGTTTACGCTATTGACATATTTGGGGTGTAAAAATCTATTTTAACTTTTTTCTGCTTTCTCTAAGGAGTTTGTCTGAAAAGTAGGCGTTATTTTGAACTTACTTTCAATGGGTGAAGCCTTTATGGGTTATATTCTACCATGACATCAACTGTCATATTGATCTGCTAATATGCAAAATTTTACCAATTTTTGGTATACTGTTTGTTGGTTTTCTAATAGTGGTACTACTTTGATTCATATATTTTCCGTTCATATCTTATTGAGATTTTTAATATTAGGCTTCACAATTTTACTCCTATTTTATCTTTTCTAATTCTTCTTTCTCTGACTTCTTTCCTATTTTAGAATAAAGGATTATAAGAGCTTTAAATTTTTATTTCTAACATTTATGATATCATTTAGTAGTCCGGATGCATTATTTGATATTGAAGCATGTATAAAGGGCAGACTCAATGAATACGCCATTGCCTATAAAGCTTGAGTGATACTTTTCAACCACCTTTGCTATTTTACGTGGAATTAACTCTAAGGTGGGTGGATTAGCCTTAAGAGCTTCTTTTTTTATTTTTACAAGTAGCAAATTTTAACAATTCCAATAGTTACATGGTAAGTCGTCAAGTAGTATTTTATTAATAGGGTCGGTATATACTGTTCTTTGCTTTGTTTATGAGGTTTTGTATGCCAGGTTTTTAGGCAATTAATCGAAATTTTAATGTTTTATTAAAGTCATTTTGATTGCTATACTACATTCGTTAAATGCCAACTATTTTTTACTTCATTTATAGAGATTATTTCTATCCATAAGTCTATTGGAAAATTTCTATGTATTACTGCTAGCATTGTGTTTATTATGCGGCCAGCATTTTTGAAATGATTTTTATTGTACTAATTATTCTTCCAACTGTCGAAATAAATGTTGCATTAGTTACATAAACTCGAGTTGGAAAATGTTCAAGTTCTATTTTATTAATTTCTACTTAATTTTATTAGTAACATTATTAGGTTTGTGGGGACATGTCATCGCTTAACGCGACTTCTCATGCATGCAGGCCAGGTTTGGGATGTGCGACCGTACAACTCTCTGTGCAGACAACCGCCCAACAAGTGGCCAATTAGAAGTCTCTGTTTTTTTAACCTAATCCGCCATTCTGATTATGATTAAGCTCACTGAATGTACACTATACTCACGTTATACTTACAGAATAAACCTGTTCCGCACTATACGCCTGTCTCCTCTATGGCAGGACTATAGCTTAGCCGGTTCCGGGAGTCTAACTAGAATCTACCAAAGAGATTTCTGCGTCAGTGAGGCTTTACTAGTGTAGCAATCCTCTACAAATTGGTGACCCTGGCGTGATTTGCTCATTCAAAGCATATTGCCTCACTCGGGAGTGAAGTGCTACCTGGTCAATTGGCGATAAGAGGGTGCCAAGGTCTTCGTTAGTGGTTGCTATGACTGGCATTCTTGCAAGGAACCGCTCTGCTCCATACTTCACATCAACCTCAAACCTGTCCCCTCCAAGGAGACACTGACAATCATTTTTCGCCGCCGTCGTAACCCTTGGTTCTTCCATCAGCGCAACTGTGCGACTGAGCAAGTTGTCGAAATGAAAGGCTGTCTGATCACCACGACGACACCGTTCCAATCAAAAGATGCGAGGTTATGAGACTGGCTAGCAGTGCTTCACCAGTGTTGGTCTCCCCCTCGGAATCACAGCGTACTGATTTTGGTTGTTTTCTTTTGTCCATGATTTGTACAATGTCGCCTAGAAGGGAGCCAATATCAACGCTATTTGCATTGAGCATCGCTATCAACCAGCTAGCACCCAACCCAATATCTTCACGATGCTTCACATGGCAATAATGTTGCAATTCACTAAGGTTTCGCAAGTAGGCTTTAGTCTTCTCCTTTGCCAATCGCTCATTATTCAATACCCGTATCTGCTGCCTAGCAACCTCACCCCATTGAACACCGGTTGATGAATTCATGAAGGTGGTTTTGTAAGCATTGAATTTATGAGAAACCTCGTCAAGGGTTTGTGAATGCGTAGTTCTTTCAGGAGATTGAAGTTCTCCTGCATTCTATTCTCCCCCTTCACTTTCAACTTAAGGTCTACCCTAAATGATGACCTGCTGCAATATAAAACAGTCACTAGTGTTGAACAGAGCTGTACAGATTGCAGCGATTGAGATGTAACGATCCTCCAAAGCTTTCATTGCCTCGAAAACCTTGAGAGACATTCCTAGTAAAAAGAATTTCACACCTTAAGGAAAGTGACAAAAGAGCAATTGGTACAGTATTGATACAACTTATGGAGTTAATAATGTAAAATACAAATGACTGAAATGTCTTCGGCACTATTATCACATGGCGTAAAATAACATTTATTACATTATAGCACTGCCTTTTCTAGGTCTCAAATCCAACTAACCTTCCCCGTTTCATGCAAGATCTGAAATAATACGGATATGTTAAAGGTCAGATATCTAAATAAAGTTTACTTATTTCAAATGGCAGGCTTTATGATATTTATCATTAGCCTTTAAACTTTGACTTCAGCTTCCCCCAAGGGTGGGGGGGAGGGTACATTTATAGCAGTTAATTAATAGCAGTTCATTATCTGTCTTCTGGCTTCCCAGTATCTCTGGCTTTCCGTCGTTGTCTTTTGGGCTGGACATCGAATTAGGTGGGTCTTCTCCATTTCCTCCTGTAGGTTACATAGGGGGCATGTGGGTTGAGTGTATACACCCAATCTGTGAAGGTGTTTGGCAAGGCAATCGTGCCCGGTACGTAACCTAAACTCAGCAATGGCTTCGATTCTTGGCCAGTCGGCTATGTTGGAGAGTGCCACTTCTGACTTCTGAATAAGGAAAGAAGTTGCAAATAAGGTCTCCTCACTTGTGAACTTGACAATTAAATGTGGTCAAAGTAATGCGGTCATCTCTGCGAGCATTGTTTGTCCCCCTTAACATTATTTGTTAAAGTAAACTTTAACGTTTATTATCTTATTGATTTACTCAAATCTCATTTGAAAATGGTATCTGGTGTGAGCGTTAAGAGAATTTGAGCCAGTTGCAATCTCCATGGCCTTAGTAGCCATAAAATAAGCAACGTTACGGTAGGGAACCAATAGAGGAATAGCTAATTCCTCAGGTGCTGACTCTTGTAAGGTAGGACACTTCCAAGCCGACGCTTGTTGACTTAGAATATTGGAATTGCTCAAAACAGCGTGTCGTTCACCAAAATTCAAAAGCGTCGATTAAAACCCCCATGGATTGATAACGGTCTTATGCTCAAGCAGTTGTCAAAATGTCAGCCTCGATGTGCGTCCTCGCACTGATAATGAAAACAGAAAACTTAGAAACAACTTGAAGGAATTAATAATTTAAGGAAAAAAGTCTAATTATTCCTAATTAAACCATGTTCCAACTTAACGTTGTATTAATTTTCAAACTTCCATAACACTTATGGTATAACAAAACTTGAAAAAGATCGACCTAATAGATACTATTTTAAAACCGTTTACTATTTAGTTTTGAATACTCTGAAATCATAGAAAGAAATATGATAAAAACAATCTACAAAGGACGAGAGTGAATATAAGAAAAAAAATGCTAAGCAGAGCATAACGTGAAATCCAATAATATCACTTACCCGTTATCGTAAACAGGAAATACTTCCACACTTTTGAGGAAACTTAATTTATTTTTAATGATTTTGTAAGTGAAATCATACGAATTCTAGCATATGAATGTAGTGACACAATAATGACATTAAGTTCATGAATTTTTAGTAAATAGATTTGCTCTTTAATTAAAAATTACTAAATTTTGAGCACTTCGCATTTCTTCATTATTTTCATTTATAAAGATATTACATTTAAGCGAAATAAGTTTGTAAACTAGGAAACACACTCCTACTTGGCCATTTATTTACCTACATATATTTATGTGCCTAGCTATTTCTTACTAGTTTTATGAAATTATCAATTTCCTACCTATTTTACTCCTTCCATGTTTTACAACACCTGTCTATTTAATCTGTTTAGATCAAGGCCTGGTAATAACAATAAAAGAATGAAACAACCTGTTTTATACGTGCTACTCCATTACCGTTATTAACAGGCATTGGTTTCAACAGGTTAAATGAATATGGGACGTTAAGCATTTTATAAAATAATATGTCATGATAACTAAAATTTTGACAGGCATATTTAATGACCACCAGCAAATGAACATTTTTAAGTTTAAGAATTGAAAATAAGAGGTTTAGTGAAGTTAAATTTCGTCTGGTGAGAAAATGCTTCCTAAAATTGTAAATATTTTAAAGTAGCACTGTTTATTAAGTTAAATACACTTCAAAATGAAAAATTAATAAGATATATTTCATAATGTAATCTTCTTAAGAGAAATATAGGAAGAATTGGTAATTGAATTAAGTAAGACATACATTCCTTAGCTTTTGGTAAATAATTTTTATCTACTTAGGAGTTGGTCAGTATTGCTTTCAACTAAAATCTAGGCACATTTTTAAAATCTTGGTTATCAAATTTTGCCTTGTGTAATATCCCATTACTATCTTCCTGGGTCTTGTTATTTTTCTTAAAGTTGTTCCATATGTCTTAGATTTTCTTCATCATGGATAGCAGTTTTCAATGCCAGTATCACCATGACAAAATGTTCTTTACTTTCCTGCGTAATGGGATGTGGACATAGTTATTCCCGATCCGTAAGTCAATTACACACTTAATTGCCACTACTTGCTTTTTATTCTCTAATTTTTTATTCTTTGCGATGTCTTGTGGTACTGTTTTAATTGGTTTGCGCTTTTGAGTGTTTATCTCATCATTGGATAAAACATGTGATTCGCAATACACGCACGCTTTTCTTTTATAGAGTCTACAAAAAATGCATAATCCAATCGCATTCTTAGCGATTTTTAAATATAGATAGCCTCACACATGTTGCCTTATCTTTTCAACACTTATCATGCGTCGATTTTCAGCTGAATTTGGCGATTCTGTAAGTATATTAATATTCTTGTTCTTTTGGATAATTACACTCTCATAGATGAATCAGTCTCGCTTTTACAATAGCTTACTCCCACTTGTGCGAACGTTTCACCTTTTAATGCTATTTTAACTACTTATTTTCGTTTCTCACTGTTGTGCAAGTAACAGTAGCGGCGCATTTAATTGCCATTTTAGTGTTTTGATATGTCACCTGCCATTACATCTTCAAGTTTTTAAATAACCTTAATCTACAACAAATTTTCCTCTTCCAGCTTAATCCCTTTGAAGTGATGGATCGAAAAAAGGAACTTCTGAAGTTCTTCCAAATTTCTTCGGAAAACGATATCATCAATGTAAGTTGCGTAGTTTGCTAAAATCAAATTAAAAACGTATTCCCATAGGAGTCCAAAATATTTTTCGACTACTATTTGTTCAAATTGCAAAAAATTGTAAAGTCTTTGGTCTTTGGTAATTATTTCATAATAATTTAATTTATTTTAAAAGTCTATATTTTACATCAGGACTTTTGTAATCGAAAATCTGGTATTTGCTTTATTTCTGGGAAGTTGATTTCCATGTCAAGCTTCACAGAAAGAAAGAGGAACATCAAAGTGGCAAAAAGTCGAGAGGGGGACAGAATAATGATTCACAGATGTAATAGAGACTGACAGACAGACAAAAAGGCAGAGAAAGGTAAAATGAGTACTGTGGATGTAGTCGAATATGACATACAATGGGGTGATGGTAGTTTGTAGTCAGAAGTCAACTGCCAGTTAATAGACTCTTTTGCCGTATGAGTATACGTTGCCCAGGGTGACCACGTGGAGGTAAGTCTATCGCATACCCCTCAAAAGCGAATGTAATAGTTGTCACGAATCTGGGAAGCAACTCTTGAAATTTGAGCCTTTTATGCAGTTACTGTACTTTATATTAGAACATGGAAAGCACAATGCCCCCATAGATAAATGAGGCCCTTGATGTCGTAACATCTATGTCTGAAACCCCAGAGATGTTCTTGTCCCAATTGGAAATGAGTTTTGCTTGATAAATGCTATAGAAGTTATGGGTTCAATGCCCACAGTTTCACGACAATGGTTATATCCTACTAATAACGTGAGACTAACAAGTTGGAGCAAGGTTACTTCGAGTTTCTATCCCCCTACTCAGAATGAATGTAAACTCAATTAACTCTAAATTGATACATAGTTGGCTGTTCTGATTTATCCATTTTAATCATATTTTTGCTCTTTATTTATGAATCGAGAGAGAAAGTTCTCCTTATTCAGCATGCTTAACGACCAGTTCCATTGCTACCTTACGGTCCTTTTAATTGGTTCAATAAGTACGAGTTTTAGTTTATTCATTGTTTGTCTTTTAGCGATATCCGTGTTTGGGCGAGACCCTCGCACACAACATCATTCTTAAACGCCGAAAAATTCCGTTGAAACGCCTTAAGGATGTCTGGAATCTGGAAGATATTCGTGCGCAATTACTTTCGGAATGCGGGTCGGTTATCGATGATAGTATTAGGTAAGTAGATTGTATTTCAGCACCCTGCGCCTTTAAATTAATTTGCATTTTTTCCACGCTTAATTAAGGCCTTATGCGTGCTTCTTTAAGCAGAGATGGTGAAGAAGCCTGTTCGAAAATATGCACGAAACGAATTTCATCTAAGTCGGTTCGGCACCACAGTGTTGGTTAATTTCTTACTTTTGTTGGATTTTCATAACATGTAAAGAAAACTGAGTATTGAATTTAAATGAACACTTTAAAGCTTATATTCCCCATAGACTCTGAAACGAGAAATGAAGATAATTAAAAATGACTCTTGCATTTCTGATTCCTATTCGTCGAATTTTACTCTTTTGCTGGAATAAATGTGCGGCTACTTCTGAGGTAGTCTGGGGGTAAATGGAGAGATATAACGCTTCTGTGTTAGGAGTTTTGCTATGGAAGTTGTTTTTTTCTATTCAATTCGGAACGTAAAGTTAAAATAAGTCGTAGGAATGCGAGTTATAGGTCAATTCTTTTTGTCATATTCATAGCTTCATATAGACTTGATCTCTTTAAATTGTAGTTACACTGACTTTCCCATTCATACCTTGCCATGTTTGCATGTCTGCACATGGTGCCGATTTTGGTACCGAGACTTACTAATTACAGAAGCTATTTTGACATTCATTTCTTATCTCTCCATTTTGCTACAATTAATTAATATTAGGAAAGCTCTTTATTTTTCCTATTCACGCATTTTCTGTTGAAAAACCATTCTGATTTATAAATTCCTTCTTGTTTGATTCGGTACAATATTGTGGGTATTCAATTCTTCTTCTGAAGTTCAGGCCAATTTCTCTTTATTCTTTACTAATAATTCAACATTTAGCCTTACAAACAGTTCCATTATCGAAATGTTTTAATGGATTTGGCTTTTATTTAGTTGGAATCTACTCAATTGTAAGACCCCACCCAATGAAATAAGTTGTGAGACGCTATGTGCAGATGAGTGATGACTTTTGCAAAACAAGTTCAGATCAATTATCGATCGCTATACGCAGCCTAGTGTTTAAGGGTACATAATATCTCTGAGACATCCTTTAAGAATATACCTACAAATTCTTCTAAACTAGAGCTGTTGTAGCATTTGTATATTTTCTGCAATACATGTCTCCATAAAAATATCCCGAAAGTCAGTTACTTATCCTTCACTTTCTATTCGACGTTTTTCTGTTGTGTTGGGAGTTACTGTGCATGCATCACTATTTTATGCTTAAAAGTGAATTTCTAATTCGATTTTTTAAATAAATATGTTCAGATTTAGTTACCTTTTTATTTGCTCAGGTGTGATACGAGCTAAATATAAACTATTGTGGAGACTAAATTTCCACCTTTAATTAAGAAAATACACTGAATATCAGTTGGTAGGAGTAAAGGTTGGCGGATTGTGATTATTTTTGTTGAATCGGAATTCCCACATAGTTTACAAATTCGTTTGTTAATTAAAGTACTGAAATAGGAAAGACGATGCTAATTAATTTGGTATCTAAACCAATGTCTGTTTTTTCATGAGTATACAATCAACGATGGGGGTAAAGTCTTATTTTTGCGAGGTAGACTAATTACTTTGGTTGCATAAGCTTTATATCACAATCGAAATGCTTGTCTAATAGATGTTTCGGTAATAAACACAGGAAATATTCCTCTTCAGATCAGAACCAGAAATAACTGAATTTCCAAACAGAGCTGTCTCAATTATCGTCACAAATCCAACGAATTATACACCCTGTGGACCTCCTCCCCCTTTACCATCAATGGTTCCATCGCAGTTGAATCCCTACAATCCAACGTCCGGACAAATCCCTGATCCCTCTGCACCTCCACCTCCACCCCAATTACCTCCTGCTGATAACGCCGTGATGGAACTATTCGATGTCTTGAATGGAACCGGTCTTGTTGATCGTTGGAAGGAGTATCTTGCTAGCGATCAACTTCTCAATGTCAGTGATTCTCTTCCATCTAATACCTATCGGTTGGCAACCTGGAATCTGGATCGTCTATCAGTTGCAAAGGCTAAACATCCGGGCATTCGGGAAGCCATTTGTCTAACAATCCTCGCTTATCAATTTGATCTTATTGCTTTTCAGGAAGTGGTTGAGCCCGAGGCTGTGCAAATGGTAAATCTAAATAAGCTCCCACTTACAATTATTTCAGTAGATTGAAATAAATCATACCAGTTATATAGCTTGCAGATGAGTTGAATTCACCCAAGCTGCCAATGGTAAAACGATGGATGTCAGTAAATCAAGTAAAGCGGGGCATGTTTACTGGATTTTCATCAGCGGAAAAGACTGGACGCACGTTCCAATCTGCTGAGTATTCCTCTTTTCTCTATCGTTATGATAGAATAAAGGCTATTTCATCGAGAATTTTGGAAATTGCGGATGACAATGGGCGACCGTTTTCTCGATTACCTTTCATGAGCAAGTTCAAGGTAAGCTTATGTACTCTTTTAGTTCAATAGCATCCCTGTCGACCTTTTAATATGCCTACAGCTATTTGTAAAATTCCGATCATTTAAACAGACCAGGGACTCTTCAAGTTGAGCCAATTTTGTTTTTTCTTCAGATTGGCTCAAATACGTTGATTTTGACCTCTGTTCACCTGAAGGCACCGGCACTCCATGAAAGCAAATCATCCAAAAACGCCGAGGAGATAAATTGTCTGACAGACTTCATCGATGCCATGAACGATACTTTTGCCAGTGAAGGTTTTTCGCAAATTTTAACGTTTACGCGAGCCTTTTAGTCGCGTTAGAAATTTCGATATTTCTTGGCCTTAGTCGAGCGAAGGTAGCTTCTTTAGCTGCTCTGATGCGAAACTCAGATTCTGTCATTTTTCATATTGTCCATAAATAGTTAGTGGATCGGATGGGTACATTTGGAAAAATGTCTCCATCGTACCGAGTTAGTTACTGGAGCCAATTTTTATGAAGTAAGCACATTGTGGGAGTTTTTTATCAATCTACTCAAATTAGAAATTAAACCAACTGCTTTATGCTTTGGATCACGTTCTCATAGGTTCTATGAACCTTTATTGTATTCATCTGCTGCATGATTAGTCTAAACGCTATATCATTTAGTTCTTTTCTAATTTAGATCATGTATACTATGTAATTCTGGGTGACTTCAATCTCGATCCGGGTAATGAAGGTAAGCTGCATTTCAAATTTTATTTGATCTATCCATAGTGAAATTTTTTTATTAAACTTTTATTTCTCATTTTAAAATGAAGTATTCGCTTAATTTAATCACGAAGGAATATCCAAATACTATCATCAGTCTCATAGTATATTAATAGGCAAGTTAGGAACTAGCAAATCGTGGAGAAGGATAATCACAAAATCAATTGAATTTGTTTTAGTTCTTTTTTTATTCAATCTGGTGATTTCTACTAAAGAAATTGTTTACATTGTAGCAAAATCCTAGTCGAAATGTCAGTCCGCCTTCTGGATAATTAACTGGATTTAGTAGTTAGTTGTTTAGTGCTCGTCGTATTCTTTGAGCACATTTGCCTCTTCTAATGGGATGGATAGATGAAATCAATTAAGGGGCTTTGAGTACAAATATCGGATAGTTAGGGTAGTTTATATTTTGGTTATTGCTTTTGACTGGTATTTTCTGTAAATTTCGGTTGTATACTTTGCAATTCCCTGCTTAATATGTCATAAGTCAGTCCTCAGTTTATGCCTTTAAAGGTTTTATTCCACTATTATTTCATTACTTGCTCATGGGTTAACAAAATTCGAATTTCTCTAAATCTTTTTCTAAATTTCCCACTTATTTGCGAAGTAGTCTGATCGGCGGCTGATTGCACCTCAAAGATTTATTTGGAAAATCTAATAAGTTTGAACGCCTCCTGTTTTAGATCCTTTTGTATTATGTTGATAGCATTTAACCTCGTGAGGCTTGAGACTGGTTTTCAATAAAACGCTGTATTGATCTTTTAAGTTGGAGTTCTGCATCACATTTACCGATTGCATATTTCTCTACATTAAATACTGATCTTACTGCCACGATTAATTGTTTGGTGACGGAAATGTCCATGAAAATGTGGAACTATGAAGTCATTCCTCTCTAGACACGATTTTTAACTTTAAGTCTTGCGATTGCAGATTTTTATAAATTTAAACGACCAACCAGTAGGAATTGTTCTCGCATTTTGTATTGCGCATTTTATGCTCCCATGGTATGTCCAGTGGTGGCTCCTCTAGATTCTGCGCTCTCTATTTGCTTATGTTCTACTTCTCCTCTTATTAACCCTATGTGCAATTCCACTTTTCCTTTTGGCTAGCTTTAATGCCTAACGTTGTGCAATAGTTTTGATCTCCCTGGTGGAAGGCATAGTAAGTTAGTTAGCTGTGATTATTTTACCTGAATTTCTTCATATGGTGGTTGTCTTAACTTGTCTTATTTATTATCCTCCCTAATACAAAATTTCTATTTTTTTGAGAACCAGATTTAATGAGTTTGTGGAAAGCCTGCTAATTGCTAAATGGGGAAGCAATTTCATGGTATCCAGGAGTCTTGATTTGTGAATTAGGGTTGTATAACGTTTACTAATAGGTAACCATCGTTTTGTAATTTAAGTCTTATTGGATGCTTTTATGCAGTGCCCATTGCTCATATCCCCTTTTTCTTTTTTGGAAAAAAGAGTCGGTTTTGTTACTTGTATTAATACCTTCCTCCATTGGTTGTTAAGATACCATGAAGATATACGTTGTAATGAATCGGGGTGTGCGAGAGACTTACCTCCACGTGGTGCACTCTGGGCAACATATACTCATACGGCAAAAAAGTCTATTTACCGGCAGTTGACTTCTGACTTTAAACTACCATGACCCCACTATCTTTGAAACACTCTTCTGTCCTCCTCCTCTCGATTTTTTGTCACTGATGTTCCTCCTCTCTATGAAGCCCAATGCCAGCTAAAGGGCTAATGATAACTATCAAAACGCCTGCCATTTGATATAAATAAATAAATAAATGTTGTAATGAATCCCTAAGTTTCCTCTCAGAAATTAGTTCGTATTTCTTTTCATGCT